TCCTAGAGCATCCGATCCTAGAGAAACTTCTTGGAATTTTCTTTAGAGGCTCCAGCATAGCATAGTTTATGGAGGAAAAATAATAACTGTTGCACAAGTCCAGAGGCTTGGAGTGTGGTCAAAAAATGAAGCCAATCGACTTGAGTTATTTTGAAACTATGGTTCCTTCCACTAGAGGAAAGCTGTCTTCTGTGACTGTGGCTCCCCTGTATTTAATGGTGGAATGGGTATTAACTGATGCATGGTGTTTAAGATCTAAGCAATGTCATGTTTCTTTACGTTTCATGTTAAATTAGAAAAAGATCAAACCCTCTCCCATAATACTGGCAAGAAATCCAGTGTTATACTCTTCTAGCTACTCCACTGTTGGGTCTTCTGGAAATTCTGGGAGTCTATGAAGTCCCTGAGGAGGTCTGCTAGATTCCTCCTCCAAGCAAGGAAGCGCCTAGACCTCCCTGTCCTGTACTCACATTGCCCTTAGTGCTACCAGCAGCTGCCGCCCCACACCACGCCCCATCTTGGGTCGGGCTGTGCTTCCACTTCCCTGTCCAGGACAAAGGAATAAGGAAGGAAGCAATGGGAAGGAACTGCGGTTGCCCAGTCTTTCCTTTGCCTTCTGCATCCTGGTTTTCAGCATAAGTAGTTTACTACAAGGAAAGAGCACTAATAAGAAAGGATGTAACTGAATTTCCAACAGAGACATATACTGTGAGCCAGAAATACTATATAACTTTGAATTTTCAAATTACCATATTAAAAATAATAGATAAATTATGCTTAGAAATATTTTTAGTGCATCTAAAATGCTATTATTTTAAAATATAATTAATACAAAAGTTATTGAGATGACTTCTTGTCCTACAACTGAAGTCTGGTTTACATTCTACACTTAGCATAAACATCACTTTGGACCAGCCTCACCCCATGTGCTCAGGGCCCCCCGTGACTAGCCATAACTGTTCTTCACATCTCAGCTGAAGATTCAAGCACTGGATGAAGACCTTGGACCAGCCATGGGACACGCAAAATGTCTTCCAGACCAGATTTTTCTTCCTATATGTTTTAAGCAAGAGGATACTGTTTTTCTGCTTATACCTATGTTCATTTAAAGAATGTCTTCATTGCACTGGTAATATATAGACATTTGGTTTCTGTTTGACTTCCTACTTTGGAATATTTATGTAGTAGCTACAAAAGGATAATGCTGATCATCTAGATATCCCTGCTAAAAATAAAGTTAATTAAATAAAACTATTAGGTATGCATCCCATTATGTCTGTTTATAAGATAATGTAGCATGAATTAAGAAGCTCACTTTCTTATTCCGGTTCTGCCATGGACTTGTGGTATGATCCCAGGCTGAACTTCCTGGCCTCGATTTCACCATATATGCATAAATATACATGCATAATAAAAAGAACATACATATGCTTGTATATATCGAAGGGTGTAAAAAATAAAATTATTGAACTATTATAAAAACACAAATCATTGCAAGTCAGTTATCTGATCTCCCAGACTGCCCACTTGAACATTTTCAGGTGATCTTTGATTAAAAATTTTTCAGTGGCTATGTCTCCCACTGTTCAATATGTGCCTAATGAAGTGCCTCCCAATATTTTTTTAAACATACCAATTTGGCCCTAGAATTTTGCTTGCTCAACTGCTAACCAAATAAATAGAGATACATCAAGGTGTTTCAATATAAGCACCAACTCATGAGAAAACCCTTAAAATCCATTATGTTCTTTCCCCTTTTTTTTATGTCCTTGAAGCAGCTTCTTTAAATTTTTTATAAAAAACAAAAATGGTAGTCAATTTAAAAGAAGGCTTCTCTCCCTAGACATGGATAATTGTTTGACTTTTATTATGAACCAGAAATACTTTATACCTTTGTCTTCACCTCCAGCAGGTGCCCTTGAGGGAAAGTGATTAATGTATCTTTCTAAAATTACACCCTCCTACTCATATGCATTTATGTATGTTGGAATAGAATGAAGGGGCCTCCGGAGAGAGTCATATATTCTAGGGTTGGCCATTCAAAAGAAAAAACATTCAGTGCATAAATTCTCTACAAATACTTGCCCTTGCTTTGTGTAGTCTGTTTTATGTAAAAGGAGAGAACTGAAGGATCCAGAGTACAAAAAACTTCAGATAACTCCATGAGGCGTGGAGGAAGTGATGCTGTTCTGTAAGATTAGGCAGACACAAAACAATGGAAGATGAAAAAATGGTTCTGAGGCTATCACCGATTAAGTTGTGTCCCCTCAAGTACGTTGAAGTCCTAAATCCCAGTACATCAGCCTCTGACCTTATTTGAAAACTGGGTCATTGCTGATGCAGTTAGTGTACACGAGGTTACTCCAGAGCAAGGCAGATCCTAACCCCGGCATGGCTGGTGCCCACAGAAGAGTTTGCTCTCTTTGGACAGAGACAAGCGAGAGGTGAAGAATAAAACTCGGAGACAAAAATGTAGGAAAAACAAGGAGGCAGAGAAGCTGCACAGGAGAACGAGGTGCTTTATAGTAGTCAGTGCTCGTCTTTGTTTCTGGCTGATTTCATCTAACCTGATGCCCTCCAGGCACATCCACGTTGTTGCATAAGGCAGGATTTCCTGCCTGTTAAAGGCCTAATAATTATCCATCATGATCACACTTTCTTTACCCATTCATCCATCCAACTCACAGAAGCAGACAGTAGAAAGGTGGGTGCCAGGGACAGGGGGAGAAGGAATCTGGAAGCTGCTGTAGTTAAGTTTTGGGGGTGAGAGGCTGCCAGGAGGTGCAGCACAACGCCCTGCCCATAGTTAACAGCTCCATGCACTTCGAAACCTGCAAAGAGGCTGGATCTCACGTTGTTCTTACCATTTCACAAAACAAACAACAAAAACGAGCGAGGAAGAAAAGCCTTTTTCCGTAGCAGGGCCAAAAAAGAGCTCCAGGAAACAGGAAGGTCAGCTGCACGTCTGACTTTTAGTTTGGTTATGCACCCTTTTTTTTTTGCATCCTGCTTTTATACACACTCTTCAATAAAGGTTTCCCCTCACTACTGGTTTGTCCTCTCTGAAAATCTTAAGTGCAGAATCCTGCAAAGGGCAAAGATACAGATGCAATGTAGACAACGATGCTGGAAGACCACAGAGCAGCGGACATCTGGGTTACAAGTTACTACCATCTCTGCTTGGGTTTACTGTTTTTCTTGTAGTTTGACTTATTTTTTTTTTTTTGTTTTTTGGGGTTTTTTTTTTTGGTACCAGGAATGGAACTCAGAACTTTGTGCTTGCCAGGCAGGCGCATATGCCACTGAGCTATATCCCTGGCCCCATGGACTTATTTTTTTTTTTCGGGGGGTGGTGGGGGGAGTCGCTTAGCATTCATTCTCGATTCCACCCAACGCCAGCTTAGTATTTATTTTACAGCACATCAGTGAAACAAATCATAACCCTAACTTAGTTGCTTAGGAAATGTAAACTGAGCTTGAAGGCTGCTGTTCAGAGGGTGTTTCTCACACTGAGCTGGACAGCGTGTCAGAACAGGGAGGCAGAATCGCAGCAGCACAGGTGTGTGCCTGAGAAAGACACATGGCTACTGACTGCACCCTGGGAAGTCAGATAATTCAGGGTCCAGCAACAGTGGCACCGTGTAATCTGGGTGAGATGTTCTTTTTTTAATTACTGGAATAGGGACAGTATTATGGGAATAAAATTACTTTTTGTTTCCAGAAATTTTGTACCCTTTAAGTTCAAAAGAGTGGTTGGCAGGACCTATAAAGCATTATTAAGGAGAGGAGAAAACCCTTTTTACTGACATTTTATGAAGCATCTTTAATCACATGAAACACCTCTGGTAGCACCTGAGGCCAAGCTTCTAAAATAATACATAGAGCTTCTGGAGCACATGTTATCTAAACCAGAGAAGTTAGTTTAGCAAGAACCTGTTACCTTTGTGGTAGATGCCTAAGTAGGCTGTGAGAGACCAAAAGGATGTACAGAACTGCCTTGGGAGGAAATTAAAATGTTTTGGGAGTATTAGAAAATACAAATACCCTGAGGTCCATGGCAACATACGCTCCCTTGAAATTGCTCGTGTGTGTATACAGGTGCACACATGTATGCAAATGCTGCCTTTTAAAGGGCAGAGTGAAGCACAGACTAGTTGCCCTTGGTGGTCCAGCAAGCAAAGGGAAGGGTTGGTGTTACGCCAGTGCCCTATGCAAAGCCCCTGGGCTGCCCCGCCCTGGTGCAAGAACAGGCCTTCCTGAGCCCCGAGCAGGGGGTGGTTTCTCCAGCTCCTCTGCTTCTACCTCCACTTCCTGTATGACAGTCACACCCCCAGAGCACTGTCAGTGGATACAGAACACGCTCAAATTCAACCCTGCATAAAGGTTTTGATATTAAAAACTCCAACTGAAAAAGTCAACTACTATGCTGATACACAACATTTACGTAACTATAGAAAGTAAATCTTGAGTTCCTGGAATGCATATGTTTTTAAATAGTCTATATTCAACAGTGTTGGACTTTCCCTCTTGCTTTATGCTTGTCAAAGTAAAAAAAAAAAAAAAAAAGAAAGAAACCCTAGTTAGAAAATTGTAAGAATTAAATTTTTTAAAACTTCAAATTTTAGGATGAATTTTATTTATAAAACAGTTTGATTCTCTTGCTTTACAAAAATTACAAAACACTACTCTTAAAAATAGAAATAACTTCTCCAGGCTCTTGGGAACTAATTGTAAGCAACCAACGAGCTGGAAATGAGGTGCTCTTCTTAGAGAACTGCAACACCACTGCTGTGCGTCTTCTCACAACAGTGACCAGCTCTCTGGCGCAAAGGTCTCATCAGGTCAGAGTCTGAAGCAGCAAGATCTTCTCGTTAATGCAGAACCTGTGCAGCACCACCATCAGATTCTCGCCACAGCGGGAGACCTGGCGCTCCATGGCCAGGCGGAAGTCCTCCTTCACACCTTTGGTGATGCCTCGAGTGACCGTGTGGTGCCTGAGGTCAGCGACAGGGAAACAGACAGAGACCAGAGATGAGCAGCAGTATCGCTGACTAGCACTGCTTACGTAGGAATAAAGCCTGCACCATATCTAAGTACACATAAGTCAAAACTGTAACCCAAATTTAAAAAGAAAAGCTGCAACCAAACAACCACTCCTACCCATTCCTGCTCAGCAAGACTTAAAACCAGCAAGGCATCATTACCACCCAATACAATTTATTTGAAACACCTACGTTCAGTGAAATGCTGATGAATTCCTGAAGCTCTGATCTTACGCATCCCTACTGCTGGCTCGCGCACAGTGCTGTGACTTGGCTGGGAAGGCTGCTGTCCCCACTGGCCACAGAGAGCTGGCATCCAGCCAGGCCCGCACACCGGAGAAGCAGCAGCAGGGAGGAAGAGATCAGAGAACACCAGTTCCTGCCAAGGCTCCCACAGCTGGGGCTTCCCGAAGGGCTTCTGCACAGCCGCTAGCGTCCCGGGGCATCTCTTTCCCCATGGTACCAGGACAGGGTGGCACTGGAGAGTTGGGCCCACCCAGACTCTCATCTGCTTAAAAAAGGCAGGGGACTCAGGCAACCTGGGGCAAGAAGCGGGCACGGGCTGGGAGACGGACAAGATCCTGAGAGGAATAAGCGGCCTGAAAGTCCCAGGAAGACAAACTCTGTCCAGGTGCTCAGAGGGGCCCGTGTGTCTGTCGAAGGGTCAGTGGAAGCACAAGTAATGCAGGGTCTCACTGTGCCCCAAAACGTGTGTGTTACAAAAGGAAATCACAAGCAAAACCCCAGAAAACTGAAGACAACCAAATGAAGACAGGAAAGGAAAACCAGCAAAAATCAGTGGGCTCAGGAGGAGGAAAGGAGTTTCCGCTGCTATGGTAGTTCCGTGACCTGGGGGATTTAGTCCAACAAAATCCACCGTCATTCACTGCCCCCTACTGCTGCCTAACTTCCTCAGGCAAGGAAAACTCAACGTGAGTTTTCTGTACTGGGCAAAATAACCTCTTGAAATCACTAAAATATTTATTTTAAAACATTAATTATAAAAGTAAACAGGAGTCATAAGATTGCAGTACAACAGAAGAAAAAATATCAGGCTCTGTTAGACTGGTGAAGCTATTACAAAACACTCTACAATGGCCATGGACGTTTTCAAGAACCATGTGGTGACACAGCAGGGCCATGGAGAAAATGCACAGTTCCATGGGGCCATCTCAGACCCATAGCTAGGACACAGCGGCAGTGAGGTGCAGGCGCCGAGTCCCTGTGGGAGTGGTTATAAACCACACTGTGCTGCCTTGAGATACTGCTCTTACAGCTCCTGGGGGCAACCCCAACCTGCACCAAGCAGAAGACGCTGGCATCTGCAGGCAGTGAGCTAACAGGCAAACTGTCCCCTTAATACGACTGAAAATATGACTGTTACACCCTGCTCATCATGGTCTGCTGGTATCGTTTCCATCTACCAAGGGCAGCACAACTCACTGTTATTTCCATTAGAGCCTCTATTCCTCTAGTATGTTTGGGTAAAGACAAGAGTTACAGTCATGCGCCACATAACAATGCTTCACTCAGTGAGGGACCACGTTGTTCCCATACAGCCTGGGTGTGCAGCAGGTCATACCACACCCACTAGGTTTGTGTGTGCACTCTACAGTGTTCACACACACAGTGACGAAATCACCCAATGATGCGTTTCCAGAAAATACCCTTGCGGGTAAGTAACGCAGGACTGTAGTTAACCTTTTCAGTTTAAAAACAGGGTAAATTAGCTCATCAGCATGGCATTGTTTTAGCTCATCAAACAATTCAGAAAGGCAAGGTCTGGAAAGAGTACCAGTGGTTGGAGAAAACTGTGCTTATGCCCAGTTAGACCAACACAATACTGGTCCCTAACATTAAAGTCCTTCTACAAAAATTAATCTCAAGTCAATTTCAGCATCCTAAGTATTTATGATCAAAAGCCTTATTTTTTATCAAAAGAGAATCATAGTTTAGCACTTAATTGAATGTGCACTTAACCTAATACAATTTTATAAAACTTTCATATTTTTTTCCAGATCCATAATGATTTTTAAATTGAACACAAACACACTGGCAACTTATGGAAAAAAAATACGAAATGTTACAATATTACAACCAGATGGTTTGCCAAGGAATGCGGAACAAATTAAAAAAATAAATAAAGCATGAAAAAGGGCACTGAGGAACAAAGAGCTGAAACCATGGGCTGGAAAACATGTGGACAAACAGCACACTATGAGCAGGTGTTTCCACGTGGTACCTGTCAGCAGTCTGTATGCTGGGCTGAAGCACAGGTAAGAATTCCTGCTGCAGTAACCCCAGGGGAGGGCTAGAAGGCCTTTAAAAAACAGCAAACAGCAGCATTCAAACACCCACACCGGCTCACCCTGCACTGCAAAAACAACACTCCGGAGAAGATACACAAGACTGAAGCGGACTGTACAGAGACTTTTAACTGTGACACGCCCTGGCTGCCGTGTGTTCCGGGGAGACGGGGGAGGAGCTAGTGAGCCCTCACTGCAGGGGCTGGCTGTGGGCGGGGCCAGACGCCTCCTGGTTCCTGGCCCCAGAACTCAACCCACTTAGATTTGGTATTAAAAGCCCCCAGTGAGGAAGAAGGCAGTGAAATGCACCTAGACGGCAGGGGGCAGGGTTACCATTTGGGAGGTCATGGTTTCAAAGCCAGCCTCCTCAACTCTGTGCTCTTCTCACGCCCATGCCAGTCCCAGAAACACACCTGGTGACTCTGTGTGATCCCTCTGACAGGACTCAAGCCCCAACGGAGACGCCCTTCCAAGAGGACGAGCGGGGCTGGCAATGTTTTTGATAAAGAAAGGGAGAGTGTGAGGCTCGAACAAGTACTGAAAAAACCCCCGATGGAAACAGGGAGGGAAAGAGTTTGGGACTCATGGCTTTGCGGGATTCTGTAACAGAGATTGAGTACGTTAGCTGTGATCACCTCATAGGACATCATTGTTTTTCATTTCAGTCCAGTCTAACACAACTGAGATATTGTAAATATCAGCATAGAAACATTTCTCTATTTTAAAGCAAGAGCGACATGTCCATGTGACACATGAAGAGCTGATGCCTCCTTTCGGTCAGGCACTGAGTGCCCATGTTTGTACCATACCTGCTCGCAGCCAAGATGCCACAACTAGGACAGACTCACAACCTTACCCCAGGGAAGGAGCTGAACTCTGCTCACAACATCTGCCACTCAGCTGGAGGGACCACCCAAAAGGTCTGCAGTGGCTTCAGAGAATTTGTTTGGAACCCAAAGGGAAAAGGAATATAGATAGTTTTATTCAAGAGTCTAATTAGATCTTTATTAGTAAAAGTTCTCTGGCGCAGTTTCGTTCTCCTACAGTAGTTAAGCTACCCACTATCTGAAACGTAGGTTTCGAATTCACTTTAAGACTCACACAGGCGGGGCAGACTCAGGAAATTCCTACAAGGTCAGATCAGCAGGTAACAATCCCTATTCTGTGTCCAGACTGATGAAACTACAGGTTTCCTAACAGGCTTGTCGCCTCAGCAAGTTTGAAGAAATTAAGGGTCAGATTAAACAAAGTAGGTGAGCCTGGAATTATCCTTCAAAAGTCTAGCAATGCAGATTGGGCACCCCTTATACAAACAAGCCCAATAACCCCTTCCTGGGATATTACCTGGGCGTCACAGGGACTGTCAATATATACCCATGACACTGTTCAGTTCATGAAAAACTGAGACAAGAACAAAGGCTTAGTACGGGGAAGTCTGAGGTGCAGCTGGGGAGCCTCTGAGAACCTGTCCCCTCACACTGTCACAGCGCAGCCTCTATGTAACACGATGCTCCTCTGTAGGTTTATTCCTATGTGGGAGGAGGCTGGTTTCACTAGGGCTGTCTCTACATTACAACAATTTGAACGGTGACTGCTGATTAACTAAAACGTATGCCTGCATATTGTTTCAAAACCTAGAAACTGTAACACAAAAGGGGTTACCTGGGTTCTCATATCAACAAGTAATCTTTATTCACATACAACATGAATACTTTGAACCCTCCAGGTGTTTTCCCCAGCCTTGATCCACAATCTCAGGAAAGTAAACGGCGAAGGGAGGGTGCACCTGTCTAGTCTGTTTTGCGTAAGCAGCCTAATGTGTAAGGGTCTCATGTTTTCAAAAAGGAGCATTTGTCCTTTATTAAATATTCAGGATATTTAATATCACTTACAAGATCAAGGGAAAAAATAATCTTTCCATTTTTTAGAATGGATTCCACAAGACCCTATTCTTGGTAGGACATAAAAAAAAATGCACCAAATTACTGAGGTTTTAGAAATCCAGAATGATTATCTATTTCTCTCCCTCAATATTTCTAAGACTCTACAAACAAAAAGACATGAATTTTTGCTTTTAACAACTAGACATTTCTTTATTCTGCAATTGAGGGAAAAAAAGAAAATGTTTTCAGTCTTAGCAATCCTTTCCTCCCACTCAGGTTCCGTCTCTCTCGGTAACTCTGACACTGACTTACAGACACACTAAATGTGCAGGAAGCAAAGGTGGAAGTGTGGAAATAAAACTGCACGTGGCACTTACAGCAGAGAGGGGATATTACCCAAACCACAATGAGGGTTGAGGAGAGAAGCAAGATTCATGAGCTATTTAAAAATCATAGATGGTTGCTGATTTGACATTGTCATCTGGGTCACCTGACATTTCAGCAGCATTCTGTGGGTGGTGGGGGTCTGCCAGAGACCACGCACGCCCACTGGGATTTCTTGGGGCAAGTGTGTTCTCGGAGGCACTAGGCCCCGCTCTTGCACTTTGTGCTATGAGCAATGCAAACTGCTTACGAGGGTTTCAAATATAATTTATAAATAAATGCTGTTTCTCCTAATGGACTTTCCTCACCCAATGCAATTTTAAACATGGCTGCTCTTACTTGCAAACACTTTCTAAGTCTAACCAGACATTTATAAGATCAGTGTGTAAATTTTGGAAAGGCAGATACCAGGAAAGAAACTTCTGTCTAGTGAAAATTTTCACAAATAACAGAAATACTCCAATTTAAACAGTATGTTTTTTCCCAATTAGTTAAGGAAACAAGTCTTTCCAAAAGTACTCAGAGTCAAATTGACTCTCAGAAATAGAGACCAGGTTTGGATTTATGTCTAAGTTTTTGGAAGACACAGAAATTCACAAATAGTTCACAGAACAACAAAAAAAGAACTTGGAAGAGCAAAAGAGTCTGCTTACTTGATCAGCATTCCTTGATTGGGCAGTAATTCCAGATGGATCTTCCCACCTTCCTGAGTTCTCAAGTAGGCAAATTCCTCCAGCATATCGATGTCTATGGCCAGATTCAGGTTAACCACATGGAGAACAAGGTGCCCCGCGCTCTTGGGTGAGGAAACGGGCTCTTGGGAACTGATAACCTGCCCATCACCATCCCACTGACAGCTACAGCATGAGGAATTCACGGTTTGCCTGATTCCAAAACCTCTAATTCTCAGCACAACGAAAGTGCTATAAAGAGAACTCTGGGCTTAAGACGTGCAGGCTGAAGGACATTAGGATGTGTTTTCCCTCTAGAGCTAATTTAGCACAGTCCCTATGATCACGAAAGCAAATGTTTTTTCTCAATGAGAAATCAAAGAGATGGTGGGAGTGGACGGGACTACTTTTGGTTACAGAGTATCAACCATAAAAATAAGTGTTTCTTCACACCTACTGTGCAAGGCTTTCCAGAAACTCCAGGGGTGGAAGCTTCTGTGAATCCTGCAAATTTCACACAACATGCTGATATTCACATACACACTCTTCTGGTGAAAAGTTATATAACTTCCCATTTTTAACTAAAAATAACTATCTTATTTAAGAGTTAACTTGAAAAAAACTATCCCGTTATCAGTTTTAACTAAAAACTTGTATGACTTTCATTAGATTCTCTAAAGGTATCTGTCCAAAACAGACTGAGTTATTGCTATGTGTGCTTGAAAAAAAAGCATGTATCTCAGAACTAAAGGATAAACATAAGACACTAAGCAAGGTCTTTCCCAGCAAACTGTGAAACAAAGCACTACCTAGCACAGCAAGCATCTGCCAGGGAGGGCAGGGCTGTGTGGCTGCTCCCGAGGAGCTGGCACGGCTGTGGCCTGGTGTGCCAACAACTCGTCCAGGGGACAGCAGTGCCCCAGGAGAGGCCGTAGGGCATCTTATGATAGATGAGGGTCCTGGACCTGTTCTACTCTATGGCTAAATCGGTCGCTCCGTGCTGTCAGGAACTCGTGCGCTATTACTTCCAGCACCTTGAGTACTTTCTGAGAAGTCAGGTAGAAGTGGAAAAAGGAAAAATTGTTGATATTCCGCAATACATCTCTGAAGTGTCTTAGGACTCTGTATGAACTGGCAAAGCCTCATTTTTAAATCACCATCCCTCTCGCTCCCTCAGAAGTAGTAAAAAACAGTATTTCTAGCTAGAATGGTTCATTCATTTTTTTTTTTTTTTTGGTATCATAGATTCATTAATTCTAGTAAGTCAGAATTTGCTATGTTTAAACAAGAAAAAGGATACTTGTAACATAATTGAAAAAATTCTCATACTGGAAATTTCCTTGTTGGCAAATCTTATTGACAGCTTTTAAGAACAGATTCTCTCCCCGCGGCCACTCCTGCTGAAGCAGTACAATCACATGCCCCAGTGCCATGTCGTCTCGGTTGTCCGTGAACGCTCTAAGCTGCAAACAAACATTTACCAGGGGAAAGAAAAGCACAGGGAAACCAAATAAACCAAATATTAACTCCCAGAGTGCTGCATATGCAAATGTGTGATTGAATGACAGAAGTTACTGGAGTAAGAAGGTAACAAAGCAGAGAGAAAAGCCGCTGGGAAACATCAGAACTGCCTTCTACGTGGGGTCTAGTGACAGCAGGCTGAGGCTCTCCGTGCTGTGAACATGTTCCCTAAGTATGCTCAGATAGGAGCTGCACAGGAGCGGTGAGCCTCTAGCTTTGGAATCTGCCAATCAGGGCTGCAGAAAGTTGGGTAACCCTTTCAGGGCACAGCTGTGAGGGGACAGCTATGAGTGGACGGCGGGTAAAAGACCACTAGGGAAAGAAGGGTTGGAGGACAACATGGGGCTTGGGAGAAAAATAAGCGTGAGCAAGGGGGAAGCATGAGCTTGAAAAATGGCCAAAACACTATGTCCTAAATGACCAGCTACAAAGAACATCATACTTGAAACTGTTTCTGTTGCCCCAAATGGTTGGGATGACGAAGCTTGGGATGACTGTGCTAAAGCACAGACCCAATCTGCTCTTGCAACAGTAAAAGCATCTCTCCCACACGGTTCTGTTCCACCTGCTGCAAGGGCTGTGGCGTCCTTTCAACAGTCCAAGAACCTTCCCATCACTGTGGGACCTCTGCTGCTGTTGATCTGATTACTAAGATACTTTCACCCATCCTATCTTGGTAGCAAACTCACCCTCCCCTGTGAAACCAGCATTTATGTTCCCCTCTTCTACAGCTAATACATTCTGACTTGTATAATAATTTTTTTTTTTTTTTTGGTTTTTCTCTGGTACCGGGAACCAAACTCACGACCTTGCGCTTGCCAGGCAGGCGCTTTGCCGCTGAGCTAAATCCCCATCCCCCTTGTATAATAATTTATAAAATATTTACTGAACGTGACTATGGGTTATTTGCTTGTCTGCTTTTCCCTGTTATCAGTAAACCTTATTTTAAGCATGCGGTTAGTTTCCCACTCATCTCTGTCTAGTATCACTGTTAGTTCATAAATATTTATTCATTCATAGCCCATGCGTTTTTGCCACTATTATCAACCTGCTCTTTCAAGATACTAAACTCACAATGGTCAATGAGGTTTTCAATTCAAACCATTCCAAGTCATCAGCACAGTAACTCAGATTAAGTGTTCATGCTAGTCAACTTCAGGCTTACCTTAAAGCAGGCTAACATCAAATGCAGGCAGTACGGCATAATAGCTTTACTGGTACAGGGCAGGAGCTTCAGATCCGAACCTAGCAAGTCCACAAAGTTACTTTAACGTTAATGAATACTATCATCAGAGAAAACATCCCCAACAAGTACATGTTTAAGATGGTTTCCTTCTAAAATTAAAAGAATAAGCAATGGTCACATAATTTCTAACAAAGTTAAAGCATAATCATACTTTGTGATGGTAAAATTGGTTTGTTTTTTTTGAAATTAGCTTTAGATGGTCTCTACATTTCATTTTTCAATCTTCTTTCCCAAACACAAATATTTTTTACTATAAAACACTTAAAATATACAGAAAAATATAGAGAGAACATCACAAGCACTGGTGTAATCACCACTCAGCTTTGTAAAATGGTAGCATTTTAAATTTAGAGATTTTAATACAGTCTGTCAGTTGGTTGTTCTTTCTTGCGTCTTCCTGATGCCACTGTCCCCTCCTCAGAGGAAGTCACAATTCTGAATGTGGTGGTGACGTTCCCACGCAACTGCATCACCATGTACGTCTGTACTCAGCAACAGCACAGGGCAACGTCTGCGTGCTCCCAGTCTACTACCTTACACGGTGCCACCGTGTATCAATCCCTTTGCAAACTGCTTTTCTCACTTTACCTCATGTGTTTCAGGTTTATCAATCGGAATACATGTAGCTCTCACTCATTTCAGTATCATACAGTATTCTGTTGTTTACATGTCTAATTATTTGTCCTCAATGCAGACAATGAGATCTCCAATTTGTCACTATTAATACCCATGCAGAACTAAATATACATACAATTTCACCGTGCACTTGTGGAAAAAAAATTTAAGCAGTGGTATTAAAACCAAGATCGTTTCCTTTATGGCTGTGCTTTTCTATAGCTTAAATCCTTCTCTACCCAGAAGCAAAAAATAGCAAGAAATATATCTTTTCATTTTTGGCCCCTCCTTGCCAAAATACATTTTTTAATAGAGGGAATGTGTCCACCTCATACTTAATACTTGTTTATGTAAAAGGTTTATGAAGTAACATTTACCCTTTTACTTGGAATGAAGTTGTTTACAGCGTATCTCACTGAAAAAAGTCCCATTTGAAACTTGTTACCCAGTGGGAGAGTACCCAGTTGAAAAAATACCGATCTAAAGTATGCAACTAGGAGATGAGGTATTTGCTAGGTAATGGTATGTTCAATTTGGGAATGTTCAATTGGTTTCCAAAGTGGTCATATGAATTTATACACATCAAGAAAAGTAAGGATAATGTTTTTTTTCAGATGATGAGAATCAGTATTGTTACTCTTTTAATTTTTATATTCTGATGTATGCAAAATGCTCATTTATTATTTAAATCTCATTGTCCCTATTACTAATAGGATGAGAATATTTTAAAAATAGCTTTTGGTTACCCAAATTTCTGCCTCGTTCATATCCTTTGCTTGTTTTTCCACAGGACGTTGGTTCTTACTGATCCGACAAATCACTTTTAAATTTCTGGATGTTTTTGTTGATTTTATGCACTAGACAATTTTCTGGCAGTCTAGGGCTCACCTTTTCACTTTGACCATAATATATTTTGCTAGTATTTTAATTTTAATCTACATTTTCTAATCCTTTTATTTTTATTTTTGCTGTTGATGAGCTAGGGTCTTTGTATGTTGCTCAGGTTTGGTTTAAACTGGTGAAGCTCCAGCCTCCCTACTACCTGGCATTACAGGGTATAACAGCACACCCAGCTCTGTGTGTGCTCTCTGCAGTCTACACCTGCATAACATTTTTCTTCTATATCTTCTTCTAAGTTTAAATTTTCACATTTAAATATAAAAATTTAATGGACTTTTATATAGGGTAAGGGGGGGATCTCTTTTTGCTGTTTTATTTTACATCTCGCTAATCAACAGTTTTATTGCCATCTACTGGATAAATGCACTCTTCTCCCACTGAACTGTAATGTCTCCTGTTTTGTTTTTGTTTTTGTTTTCTCTGGAACTCAGGACTTTACACATACTAGACAATCACTCTGCCACCAAATTACACCCCCTGCCCTACCTATTAGTTTTAGAAGCTATCTACAGATTTTCCTTTTCTGCGTAGCCAAATCCGCGGTTGTGAAGTCACACCTGTGCGTAGTCTTTTTCAACCTTCATACCTTTATGCTGTCTTATTGTCCTGGCTAAATCTCCATTGTGTGAAACACTGTGCGAAACAGAAGTGGTAAGAGTGCAGATATACTTGTATTGGGGAAAAGCATTCATTTCTAGTAGTAAAGATTTTTTAAAAAATCACAAATAAAGGATATTCTCTGTATTTATTAAGATTATTTAAAAAATATTGTAACTTTTCTTCTTTGATAATACGATGAATTTCACTGACTGTGTAAGTTAACCACATCTGCATTCCTGGTATTTTCATTACCATGAACTACCCTTCTTCAGTATTCAACTTGCTAATATTGCAATTCATTTGGCATCTTTATGTGAGACGGACACTGCCATTTAATGTTCTTTTCCTATAACACTCTCGGTTTTACTACCAGGGTTATGCTGGCCTTAAAGTATGAGTTGGGAATTTGCCTTTGCTTTCTGGAAGAATTTGTGCTGGGTTGGTGCTTGTTCTCTTAAATACCTGATGTCATCCACCAGTAAAGCCACTGAGACCTAGTTTTCTGTGTGGGAAGGTTTTTAATTTTAAAAACTTCATTTTAGATGTAAGATCATTCAGTCTTTCTATTTTATTTTGGGTAGTTTTGGTAAGCTGTGTTTTTCAAGGAACTTCGCCATTTCAACTAAGTTGTTAAATTTATGGGGATAAATTATTCTTACTGTCCTTTTGATTTCAGTAAGATCTGTAGTGACATATGCCTCTTTATTTTTTAGATTGCTAATTTATAATCACCTTTTTCTTCATCAATCTTGCTAGGGTTTATTAATTTTGTAACTTTTCATGAAAATAGCTTTCAGTTTTCTCTATTTTGTTTTCTATTTTACTGGTTTTGGTTCTTGGAATGATTGTGACCTATCTTCTACTTTTTTATATTTAATTTGCTTATCTTTGTCTAATTTTTAATGCAGGAACAGGTATACAGTTTTTCAAGCAATGTGAAACGAGATGAAACACAACCTGGTCTAACAAAGATATACGAAGAGAAACTTCCTAATCTGTTACCTACAGGTTTCCTAGAATTGGTCAAGACAGAAAGAAAATTGTTAATTCATATTCCTCAAAGAAGTAGTAAACTCAGGAAGTGAACTTTGAAAGAAAGATTTCTAGTTGCTTCTGAGAGTAGAGCCAAGAAAAAACGTGGAATCAACTTTTCACAAAACACAATGTGTGAAGCCCTACAGAGCACAGTACTATTACTTCATTAGGAACTACAAAGCAATTCTCAGCCTTGGGTCCTAAAGCTACTTACAAAATAATAATAAAATTTGTTGCCATACCTTTTCTAAACTTGGGCTTTACTTTTGAGGGTTCCTCCTGGGATTTGCCTCCATCCTGAATGGGTAAGACCATGTAGCACATCAGGTCCAGGACCTTCTCACATGTCATCTAGGGAAGGAAAGGACAAAGGAACTAACCGGATGCTTCCAGAGCTGAAACCAAATGAGCATCGCAGTGAACATTTCAGCAAACAACCAGGCAACAGGCACCCATGGCCCTCAACGCCACCCTCTCAATGTGGTCATCACTGCTTGCTCAACCGTGAACAGAGAAAGTGACAATAAGATAGAATGTATGTACAAGAGGATGCAACAACCCATGGTCTGTGTCAAAAACAAAACTAACAGAAGAATAAAATTAATCAGGCATTAACTGAAACCGCCAACATGTTTAACAGCATGGTGGCATCCAAAACAAGGTATCTGGCCTATCAACATTTACTACCTCAACACAAAAGTCAATGAGAAGACACAGAGAGGAACTAAGTGAAATGCTACACAGCATTAGCTACAACACAGTCAAAATACACACAGGCTGAACCAGCAGGAAGTGCTTCAGGCAGGAGGTTATCTTGATCGAAGACTGAAAGGGGAAAAAAAAGCCTTCGAGCAGAATAGAACAATGAACAGGAAATGTGAAAAGTCACTAAACCATGGTAGCACATGCCTATAAGCCCAGCACTCAGGAGGCTGGGGCAGGACGATCCCTATGAGTTTAAAGCCAGGCTGGACTACTTAAGTGAGTTGAGGGCCAGCCTGGAATACATAGCAAGTTTAAAAAAATCTTTCTGATTTTCACCAACAGATTAAGTAATGAACCTAGGCAGGAAGATCAGATGCATGCACACATGTACCGAATGAAGCCACTGTAGGAAAGGGAGCCCAGGTGATGCGGTCACGTGAGGCTCTGCGCCCAGGGCCAGTGCTTACCCTGTACTCCCCCAGGGCAAAGTGACACGTTGCCAGCTGGATGAGCGCCCTCTGATGCTCCCAGGTCCCCTGTCCTGGGGTCTGTGGTTGAGAAAGTGATCCTTGGAGAGCAGCCAAGTGGTGCAGACTGGCTATGGCCTTTTTATATTGCCCCTTCGAAGACAGAACAGCAAGGAGAGAAAAAACATTACCACTCCAGAGTTAATTAAACAACCACTGATTATACACGAGGCACCTTTGTACGATCATACGGGGAGATAAAAGGAGACTGAGCAACAGAGTGGAATCAACATACTTGGAGCTCGATGAAGTCACTTCTAAGCACACCCATCCCTGGAAATCAGTGGGGGATGGGTTCTAGGACCCTGTGGACACCGAAACCTGTAGAGGGGCAAGCCCCTATACAGATACCCTGGACACACCCTTCCGGACACTTCACCCATCTCTGGGTGTTACGTAACATCTCATTGTGTTACGAAACACGTAACGCAATGGCAGCGCTAGGTGAACAGTCGGTATCTTGTGTTGTTCAGGGAATAGTGACAAGAAATAAAAGTCTGCACAGTACAAAGATTATTCTTGTGGTCTTCAGTCTTCAAGCTAATAACACAAGTCCTGGGACAATACACAGTTTGGATCTACATTCCTGTGGAAGTTTTTCTCTACTAATACGACTGCTCCCTCGAGGCGGATGGAAGGAGCAACCTGTCCCCTTCAGTACCTCACTAATGAAGCGTCTGTGTTTGCCATGCTAGGACCAAGGCTCTGTGAACAGCACAGCAAGGCCGGACTCCAGCAGCACCGAGGGAGCGAGGGGTGAGGAGTACAGACCTTCTGAAAAGTAAAACCTGTACTTTTATATGGAGCGGTGACTAGATATACCACAGGTAACAAAGAAAGGACAGTCTTAGCATTTTGTAAATATTTTGAGATGAAAGCAGATCATACTCCCCTCAGCCACTGAAGACCGAACACTCCTAAACAAGCAAGGCCACTCTCAGAGGGGGAACATAATCATGAATAGGAAATGTGAAGTTAGCTCGGTGTAGTGGCACATGCCTGTAATCCCAGCACTCAGGAGGCTGAGGCAGGAGGATCTGTGAGTTCAAAGCTACTGGTTAATGCTGGTTTGAAGCAATCACCGTCTCCACACAAAGGTACATGAAAGGTGCATCACTCTACCTGATAGATGATCATATCGGTGAGAAAGATTCTTAACCACAGCCAAGTATCCGTCTTCCAAGCCAAACAAATTCTTGTAAATTCTGGGTAAGAATTGAAACAAGTTCACCAAAAACATGTCATACAGAGCAGGAAAAGAAAAAAAATACCTAACAAGCCCAGCAAGAGCAGAGACCAACCACCAAAAGATACAGTGTAACTTTAAACTCTGATTTCTAAAACGATGTCCCACAGTTTCAGGGAGTAAATTAGAGCCTAACGCTTATAATAATACAGCAATATTGTTACAGACACATTTATAAACATATCCTGTGCCAAAAACTCTGCTGTGTATTAATTCATTTATCTTTAAAACTACTTTGCTCTCTCCAGTAAAATTCCTATTTTACTTTTACCCAGTTAAAATAAAAGGTCAATTTAGAACAAAAGGAAAAATTTTTCCCAAAACAGACAAATATTCACAATAGGCAAACATTCACAAATGCAACAGAGAAGACCTGAACGATGTGAAATTGACTTGGAAAATACCACATGACACATCGACCAAGGGCTCTGTCTCTGCATCTGACAGATCAAGGGAGGAATGTCCACTAGCTGAAAGCAAAGTAACGGGCCTAGATTTCAAAATAAATGTGTATTGTTCAGCAAAGGGCTAGTGATTTCTAAGCTTCAATACAATACAGATAAAACACCCTCTAGTTTTACATCTATACTCAAAATAGAGGCTTTCTTCAACTTTTGGATTTCATGTTTTCCAGGCAATGGTACTCTTGGACACGTTATGCATGAGGAAGACACAGGGCAACAGAAAAGAACAACTAAAAAAGAAATAAAAGGCTAGCAATACAAATATTAAAAAGACCAAAAACTCAAACTTTATCCTCACAGAAGGAGTAAAGTCACTTGAACATTAACTGATTAGATTTCTTCCTCAAAAAGAATACTATAAAAAAGCCAATCTGTAATTAGCCACAAGAGATTTAACACTTCAAGTAGCGTAAATTCTTTTTAACAGAATAATTTTACATAAAAAACTAAACAATAACAATACGACAAGCAGTCTTACCTTTGTCAAGAAATTCTAAGGAATAGAGCAACTCCCAGCTCTCCCTGGCCAACTTAAAGCTTTCTAATACTTCAACGGAGTTAGTGAGCTCTGCTTTATTGACTACAATGTGACGGTTTCTTCCTTTTGCTGAACAGTCTTCATCATCTGAACTCTGCTTAAAGAACGTGAAGAACCTAATGAACTCAAGTTATAGTCATATACTGCACCATTTAATTATTGCAGCTAACTCTGGCTATTATGGTTTTATATGCAAGAATATAACATGACTACAATTAATTTAACAATTTAATTTTGAAGATGAATCTTCCGTTCAGTTATTCCTGAAGTTTATTTTCTTCTGATGATAATTTCATTTTCCAACAACTTCAAATCATCAATTTTATAAAAGCCAAGAAAAACACAAGATAGTGAAGATAATTGTACTACTAATTTCTACTGGCTTATTGAAAGGAACAATTAATGTTTGTTTGATCAATCTTGCATACTTATATCTGGTAATCTGAGCAACTACTCTGAAGATAACAATAAGTAATACAACAACCATTGTAGCTTCCCTATCATCTTGTTTTGAAATTTTGTATCGTTTTTATAGTCTTTGTGTTGTTTTGTTTTTGTCTTTGTTTTTGTTCCTTTGGGTCACAATGAGTCTCCACTAAGGATTTCACTGAAAGAAAGACAATAACTGTCCTGAACAGGCTCGCTGCCTGGCCAAGTCAGAAGACTGCTGGTTCTTCACATTCGCTAGTGTCTTGTATCTCTGCATAAAATGTCCGCTCTCAACAAAATCCACCTCCCAATTCCAAATGACAATCCTACACAAACTTCCAGACTCCAAATGCTGCTCTCCTTCCTGAAAGTCTACTGCATTTCATGCTGTTCAGGCTGCCCGGTACACCTCAACCCTGTCCATTCCGAGGCCAGTACCTACCACAGCACCCCGCTCTGGATACCCAATAGTTCTGGCTTTTTAAAATAGATGTAATCAATGTCACTCAGTCAAAACACAGCCAAATACTTACACAGGGCTTTCTCAAGCTTGTCGCTACTGACCTTTTGGGCTGTCCTGTGTTGGATGTCTGGCACCACCCCCCACCTCTGTGTATTAGGTGTTAATTAACAACTATTCCCATCGAGAACAAGGATATGACTATAGAAAATGTCTCTAGTCATTGTAAAATGTCCCTGAAGGGGAAAAACTGCCTCCAGCGAGAGCCACTCCCTTCTATGATAATTATACAGCATAACTGAAAATCCTACAGTTTTTATCAATTTAGCTTCAAAACCTATTTTACAAAATTCTTCTCTACAAACTATAAAAATAATCTGTAAACGATTATGTCTGAAAGGATTACCATGGTTTTCTCTCTTCCCTCAGCCAGTTTCCTCTTTTTATGTATGTGCTTATTACGATCAATTTCTACATCACCGTACACATTCGATACATCTTCAAGAAGGACCAGTGGAACTTGGTTTGCAGCATTAGGTCCTATGGATGGGCAGAGAACACCAACATTAGAAATGCAGAAAGAAACAGAACACTTAGTATCAGCAAGAAGTTTGCTCAACTGTCACATGACAATAAAGCTCATCAAAAGTATGTTCAGGGTGCCAGGCGTGGTGGCGCATGCCTGTAATCTCAGCACTTGGGAGGCTGAGGCAGGAGAATCGTTGTGAGTTCCAGACCAACCTGGGCTACAAAGTGAGCTCAAGGTCAGCCTGAACTGCATAGCAAGATCCTGTCTCAAAAAGACAAAAAAAAAAAAAAGTATGTTCAGGGTATCCCAATTAGGTAAACAAACAGGTATATGTGTATAGGGAAAAAAATATAGCAGAGATATGCACCAAACTGTTAATAAATGTTATTTCTCAGTGATGAAAGCAAATGTATTTGTTCTCATGTATCTGTAATGCTTTTATAATGACCACAAATCATATATTATCATAAAAAAAACTACAAAAGTACATGTACATTATGGTTATAAACACCAAATGAAAGCTAAATATATGAAAAATAAGTCAATACATAAATATGAAAGGATTGTGGGTGATTTTACATTCTTATTTCTGTCTTTTAAGACTTTTTAGGATGGTCATACTATATACATACTATATATGTATATAACATATTATATTTCACTTAAACCTCTGCCTATTATGTTTTTGCAAAAATATACTTCAAAATGTTTTTAAATATTTTTTTCAAAATAGTGACATTCAATATATGTATTTAGGTTCACAGTACCATACTAGTCCTTGATACAGAAATTTTTAATGAAAATGTTCTTATATAAAAACTACCAAATTAAGCCACATGAAATCATCGACAAAGAGCAGAGCACTGCTCCCACCCCAGTTCTGGGATCCAACAGCAATGGTGAGAATATTTTTGTCCTCCCCGCCATCCCCACTGAACCCATATTTCTAAAATTTGTCAACCAACCTTGGAAGAGAGATGGCTGTATGCTGTTGACATACTGGAATGCATTCTTAAAGAAGACCAACATGGTGGAATAAACCACTTGGTTTTTATATTTTGCATGAGCTTCATTATCGAAGTTGTTCATGTATCTGCAGAGATCCTTCATCCTATGTAATATATCACTATAGCTTCTACAAGAGAAAGTGTGATAAAACTTACTCAGATGTCTGGGCCTGTAGGCAAAAGGTTAAAGCTCTGATACAATCTCTACATTTACCAAATACAGCTCTAAGTATGTATGGCTTTTTAAAATTAAATTTTAAAAAAATCATTTTAACTGCAAAAATTTATTTGTTACAATATGGTAATTCAATACACATGTACTGTGTTCCATAATCAAATCAGGGTAGTTAAAAATTTCCATCTCCTTAAATATTTTTAATAATTTTTTATTAACATGTAATCACCGTACACATTTACAAAGTATAGTGTGATATTTCAGTAAGTCTATGTAATATGTACTGATCACATCAGGATCCTTAAGTTTCCACCTCATCAGCAATTCATGTTTGGAGCCTTCACACTCCTCTCTCCTATTTAGTCATACAATAGACAATAATTTATTGTGGGGTGGGGCATGGCTCTGTAGTAAAACACTTGGCTGGCGTGCACAAGCTCAGCCCTAGCTCAGATTCCAAATACCACACACACAAAGTTATTGGGAACTATAGTATCCCATTGTTCTGTACATCACAACTTATTTCTCTGTGTTTGGGTATCTAAACTCCCACTATCCCCCAGCCGAACCTTTTCCAGCCTCCAGTAATCATTTTTCTACATTCTAATCAACTTATTTTTACATTGCCGTATGAGAAATAACCTGTGTAATCTTTCTGAGTCCAACTTAGCTCATATGATATAGTCTAGTTCTATCCATTTTATCACAATTGATATCATTCTTCCTTATAGCTAAGTTTTCTTTATCGACTGATAGGCATCTAGATTGATACTATATCTTAGCTATTGGGAATAGTGCAGCAATAAACATAAACATGCAGGTGCTCTGATGTGGTGGTATCATCTCCTCTAGACAGTCTCCCAGTCTCCCAGGTGGGAGACGTGGATCACACAGTGAATGTATTCTTGAGGAACCTCTTTACTACTTTCCATAGGGGTGGTACTAATTTAAATTCCCAACAAAAGTGTAAAAAACTTGCTTTTTCTCTACATCCTCACCAGCATTTGTCACTTTTTGTCTTTTTGATGTTACTATTCTAACTGATGTGAGTCGATTTCACTGTGCTCTTGACTTGCATTTCCCTGAAGACTAATGAAGTTAAAACATTTTTTCATAAATTTGTTGGCCATTTGAATTTCTTTGGAGAAGTACCTATTCACATTAAAATTATTCTTTATTGTCTGCGTGTGAATGGTAAATCTCTCCTTCTGAATTAGGGCAGTGATCAACCCAAGATTCATGACAGAAACAAGCCAAGTAATTTCTCTTTTTTCCGAACTACCAAGGGCAATGCTGCTCATGAACTACCAAGGACAGCTTCAAATTCAGTAGCATCTTATGAGTTCATGCTTCAGTTAGGGATCTTCTAATAAACTGTAGGCCACCCTCTTTTGCATAATTATTATGTCACAAAATCTGTCCAAAGAGAAATGAACCTAGGATTATACTGTTTTCAAAAAAATGTTTTTAGCTTTTACAAGGATACTGAAATCATATAATCAAAAGATTTGATAGGCAATTTTAGAAATAAGGGATTTATTACCGTCGTCCTTTATCCATCTGCCATTCACATCTCATTCCAACAACATTCAAAATCTTAAACAACCTCTCCCAAGGGTCCACAATCTGGGATGATTTTTCAGTTAGTCCTTCTATTACATACTTCTGGGAGCTACGTTTGCTGGGCGACATTAAATCAGATGCATCTTGGGCACCTGAGATGTGAAAAAAAGGCACTTATGATTAACATTGATGCTTACTATTTATGCAGTACTTCACAGAGAAAGAAAAAGTCTCACTCTCCATTCAAAAGAAAAAAGTACAGACCCTAACATATGACAGTTGCCCACTACGTAACAATGTTTCTATCAATAAAGGACTATTTATTCAATGGTGGTCCCCAAGATTATAATGAAGCTGAAAGTTCCCATTGCCTAGTGAACACAGCTAAAGATGTAAGAACAAAGGAACATGCAGTAGAAAAAGGAGCGCCAAGAAAATTCACAGTGATGGGTTTTTTATTGCTTCTCAGTCTTTCGGCTAAGATCAAGTGCACAATGATGGGTTTAGCATCAGCTTTTTGTAACATCCAGCAAGCACCCAGAAGAGTTTGAAAACAGGACCCCAACACCCAAAGGTTTTCACTAATGCAAAGTTCATAGTGCAATTTCTGCTAACAAGCCAATCTAGGATAGAAAATAGTGCGGGTGGCGTAGAAAGACAGAGAGAAAAAAACACCACAAACTATTTCTGAAATTTCTCAACAGTGACACCTGCTCAGAGAGTCTCAGGCAGGTCCCTCAAGAGGATTCCAGACGGCGGCTTTGTCACAAGACCTGACAGCTCTGTGCATGTTAGAGCCCCTGCAGGCTTTCCAAGGGACAGATGTGCAGGTGCAGACAGTGATACTAAGGATCCTGGCCCCATGTAACCAAGGTTATGCATGTGTATCTCAGTTTTTAACAAAAAGTTAGATAAGTTTATAGAATAAAAATATAAAGAAAATATTTTTTGTACAATGTATTTATATTTTAAGCTAAGTGTGAAAGGAAACAAAACACAAAAACATTAAAAAGTTTATAAAAATTTACATATAACAAGCTAAGGTTAACCCACCACTGAACAAAGGAAAACTGTTCTTATAAATGTAGTGTAGCCTACACATACAGTGTTTATAAAGCCCACAGCAACATACGGGAATGTCCTAGGCTTCCACATTCACACGCCACTCACTGACTCACTTGGAGCACTCCAGCTTTATTCATGTTAAGTACCCTAAGCAGGTACGTTATTTTTTTATCAGGTATTTTTACTATACCTTTTTCTGTTTGGGTATGCTAGATACACAGATACTATCATTGTGTATCACTGCCTACAGTATCCAGTATAGTAACATGCTGTAGGCCATGCCATGCAGCCTAAGTGTCTAGCAGGCTATACCACCTAGAAGTGGTTATGGTTTGTGTCTGGATGTCCCCCAAAGCCTCATGTAGACATGGGTGGAGGTTGGCAGGGATAGCTAAATCCGAAGTGTGTGACTGATTTACAGTGCAATGCTGGGATTAAGGGTGGGTGAATGCTGGATGGTCCACTGATTGGATTGGCGCTGCCCTAGTCCCAGTAGACTGGATACAATATAAGGGACAAAGAGAAGCTTGTCTCACTCTTTTCACTGTTGCTTTTGCTGTCCTCTGCTGCCATGAACTGTTGCCCCTCTGTCACATGCCCTGGAACCAGACAATCACGGACTGAAACCTCTACAAACTCTGAGCTAAATAAACCTTTCCTCCTCTAACTTTAGAGGTCAGGTGTTTTGTCTCAGCAATAAGAGAAAAATAACTAAGACAGAGTATAAGTATATCCTATGATGTTCACACAATAGGATTATCTAACAGTGCACTTCTGAGAATGTATCCGCTCATTAAGCAACATGTAACTATGAACAACTGGCCACTGGACTAAGCAAAAAATGAATTTCCAGCTGTGGTACCTATGAAGTTGAGTGTACTATTGCTACAGTTCAGTAACCACACTGTTTCAGTCAAAGAATAGAAGCTGTTCTAGAAGGAAGACTCAAATTGTACGCATAGCTATTTTTTTAAAATAAAATCTTCAAGAAAAACTACAGTATCCAACTGTATGCATCCAGAGAAGAGTAATCAGAATGAGGGGTTTCAGAATCTGCAATTTCACTAAAGCCTGTCTAAATAAAATCTCAGGATATTCCCACTTACCTTGATGCTGATTTTCTATCTGAGTCGACCTAGTGACATAGTTGATATAAAATTCAGCTGCTTTGTTCAAGTATTTATATAATAAATTGGCAGGCAAGCGAACATCATGGTTGTTAATTATTAGAGGAAGTACATCACAAACTGTTGAAGGGAAAAATAAAAAAACTGATCAGGTTGTCTAACTAGGTTCTGGCAAAAACAAAATTCATTTTAGAGTTCACTTGATGCAGCATCTAAAATAATATGGGGGGGGTCCCTTATGTTAAATTTATTTAAAAATTGCCACGGAAAGGGATACCAGTGGAAGGAGGTAGCAAGGAAACTCACAAGCAGATTCTTCGCCATGGGTGAGGGTCTAGCGCTCACACTGAGCAGTAGCTGCATTAGGTGGATGCTGTGTATTTACCTGTATTTCCACCCATGCTTTCAGACATATTAAACATTACAAAATAAAAGTTTAGAAGTTTTTAAAAATTTCTTCTGAATTGAAAAGATAAACCAGGATTTAAAAACAAGGATTTAAATTTCATAATACAAAGAGCTCCTTTCCTTCCCACAAACAAGCTTACCCCATCATATTCTATTTACCATTAGGAAGTAACGCAAAATACGACTTTCCTTACCAAATAATTTTCTAAAGCAGTTAACAGGAGACTCTTGTTCTTCAAGAGTTTCAGCTTCTAACAGTACCTCCCCAAGGCCAAACTGTTTCAAAATAAAATTAACCAGTTACATATGTACAGTTTCAGATGTCTGAATTACATAAACAGGGTTTTTTCATTTATCACACAGTTTGCATAATCAAACTTCTCTGAAAAAAAAAAAGGTTATCACACTTCAAAGATTAGAAAATGTAACCATGCAGCCACAACACAGACCAGAAGGCCAAGTTCACGTGACCACTTGACTGCTTTATTCTGGATTCTCCTTTGAACTAGCAAAATTAAGATGCTAACAAAGTTTATAAAATTTCAGGGAAGTACTAAACTAGAATTAAAATAACGTAAGTGGGGAGATTTTCCAAGCAATGTGGAAACTGACTTTTTTCTTTACATCAAGATGAATGTGAAAGACAACTTATTCTCAAGAGTTTGCAGGAGTCACCAGTTATACAGTTTGGGCAGACCTAGACGAAAATGTCTGAGTGTTAAGGCCACCTTTCCATCATTGATGCCCTAATGTAATAGAAAGTTGTTTAGCAGAATTCTATCAAGATGTTTATATGATCTTCCTTGTAATCATACAGGCATATTCTGTGGTAGGGGAGGAACAATGCAGAAGATCACATTGCACAGAAGGTAAAAAGTCAGAGTAATGATCAGGGAGTGTACTAGCTTGAATGGTGTCCCACAAATTCATCAAGAACCGCAGTCATATACCACTTAATAACAGGGACAGCTGTGAAAAATGTGTCTGTAGGTGATTTCATCATGGCATGATCATCAGAGTATACTTATACTAAAATGGCTCTGCCTTCCTACCTGGTATAATCTTATGGAGCCACTGTCAAATATATAGTCTTCTATAAGCCCAAACATCATTATGGGCTATGTGACTATATACTTTCACAGAAAATAGTGCTTTTGTAAACGTAAAGTGGTTAAGATGAGGTCACACGAGATTAAGGTAGACCAGAAACCTAACAAGTAGTGTCCTTAAGGGAAGGCCATGTAAAGAGACAAACAGGAAGAAAGATCATGAGATGATAGAGGCAGTAAATGCAGTGATTGTACTTCAAGCAAAGGAATGAGAAAGACTGCTCTTACCCACTAGAAGAGGTAAGAATTCTTCCCTACAGTCTTCGGGGGGTACATGGTCCTCCCAACACCTCACTTTTGAATTTGTGAGAACTGTGAGAGAATTGCTCATGTTTTATTCTACTCTATGTCTGGCACTTTGTAGTGGCAGTCCCTGAAACCAATACAAAGAAGTATGAAAAAGGTTAACCAGGGCCAGAAGCCAGAAAGATGGCCTGGGAAAGGTAACCAACAGACTTTGAATGCAAAGAATAGTTTAAATCCTGACTACTGATTGGCTGTGAGAAGTTACTAAAACATTGAAGATGCGGTTTCTTTAGCAGATACCTAGCACTTACCAGTGCCTGCCAATAGCACTCAGTAATCACCACAGATGTAGGGAAGTGGCGAGAATAGCAGAAAAATAGGGCCCACACAGCAGAAGCATATGAATCACCTAATCTGTTAAGACCGTAAACCACGGTTCCCATTTAAACTCAAACACATTGTCAAATACAAAGGAAATGGATTTAAAAAAAAAAAAACTCTACATATTGCAAATAAATACTATGTCAGAGTTTGTTGATTATTTCCTTGCACTCGTACAGCATTTCTCCTGGAAATATATACATAATATTATATATATAAATACATATATATATTATATATACATAACAACATATATAGTATGATCAATGCTTGATAACAGTGTTGTTTTCTTAGCTTTACTGACCAAGAATCTCCTGATGTAAGTTCAATCTCACCCAGGGCTCCCAGGCTCTCTGCTTTACTGTCATATACACTAGAGCTCCTACCATACTGATGAATCTATTGATAAACAATTTCATTTTCTCTTACAAAACAGGAAAGAGCACTCTTACCCCATGTTGCACTACTGTTTCAGGGAAGCGCCTCAAAAGTAGGAGTAACATTTCTGATCGTTCCAACGTGTTGAAGCACTGTTCTGTGACTTTTAGTAACATTTCACACTGGATCCGACCAGGAAGAGTTTCAAATAAACCTGTACACAACACATTTCACCTTTAGAAATTCTTTGAGAAAATACTAAAGCAAAGGTGGTAAGGTAGGCATTTTCATGTACAGAACAGTAAAAACTCACTATGGTCAGGTTTCAGGCCTACAACCTTTGAATTTCATGGTATTGGCAGAAGGTGTTTAATGAGTAGTAATCATAAAACATTTGGAGCTCTTACTGGACCAAGAAGACAGGAAAGATGTGTGAAGACTCACAACTCTGCTTGTTCTAAGTTAAGATAAAGAGCATGCAGTTGTTTAAGTTGAAATGAGCTAACTAGCTACTTTTTTGTTTTATGCAGAATTTGCAATCTTTGGTTGCTATAGCAACCAACACAAAAAGTTTAAAGAAAAAGGTCACAAGTTAGAAAAGCTTCTCTTCTATTTTGCAGAGATCTGGCTTACCTATAGCTGCTTTCTAGGTACTGTAAAATGTGTTACAAATATATTCAATCCCCTGGCCTCACTCACAGGTCCACATCCTTTAAGGAATCTTACAGAGTCCGAAGCAAATGCTCAACGGACCAAGGGATAGTCTTATAGACTTCAGTTGTCAAGAATAAAACATACATACGGGTACAAATATCACAAGTGAATTTTTAGCATAATTTCTGTCTATAATTTGGTATTCCAGAAATGGTAATTTATACACATTTAAGATATCACTACATTCTTACTTCTTAAAAATTGAGTTTGTTTATCCTGTGAATCGTTTCTTAATGCTGATGTAATAATGCTGATTTCTCTCCATACCACCGGCTGGTCTGGGAAATTCACAAACCTATTTTTAAAATGAATGTATTAAATTAAAATTCAGACTCTATACAGTAACGAAAAAGAAAGGAGTATTAGCATTTGAAGAAAAAATATCTTTATTCTAAGTGAACACTCAGAGATGCCCAAATAAACCAAAATAAAAATACAAAAGTAAACACTAACTGATTTAGAAAAATGAAAGTTCTTACAAAATTTTAAAAAGTTTTTAAAAGTGAAAACACAAGCAACCCTAATACACAAAGAACTCCTAAAAATCAGCAAGAATGAAACAAAACTACCCAAAAGAAAAAGTAGACAAATTCAAATCACAGTAGACAAATTAAAATCATAGAATACAAACAGCCAACAGGAACAGCTGAAATCGTACTCAATCTTATCTGTTGTATAAATAGTAAAAATTTAAGAATCAAACTAGCAAGACACCACATTTTGTTATATACTGGCAGGAATTAAAGCCACTGATAAACCAGGGATGGTGCTGAATGCTTGCAGAGCCCACTACTCAGAAGGCCAAGGCAGGAGGGTCAGGTCAAGAGTTAAAGATCACTCTGGGGAACAAAAAGACCCTGTCTCAGAGAGAGAGAGAGAGAGAGTCACATAGAGAGAGAGAGGAAGAGGGATTGATACTATCCAGTGTTGGCAAAGGTGTGGGAAAACTGGTACTCTTATACACCATTTGTGGAAAGATATACTGGGATAATCCTTTTCACATAGTAACTTGATGATAGATCAAAACTTTTAATATGTATAACTTCTAACTACAGCATGACAATATACGCCTTAGAATCTCCTTTCACAGAAAAACAAAATATGGGCACAAACTACTATACAGAACTTCATTTCAAATAACTAGACTTTATCTAAAAATGCACTCAAAAATATGTGGTTATGAAATGCTAAAGGCCTGAAACACCTGGAAAGGGTTGTATGACAATGGGGGAGGAAAGCAAGCTTCAGAACTGATAATACGATCTCACTTTTGTAACTCCTTCCCCAAAGGCGTGTTTGTGTGTGTGATGTGTTAACACTAGTTGAATTCAGGAAGGGCTTTCACTCTTTATCCTGTCACTTAAACACCGTTTGAACGTTTGCAAGGTGCATGCATTATTGCCAAATAAAATAAATCTCTAGATAAAAAGTTTTAAGAAGGATATAACTTAGGGACTTCTCTGCACAAGGCATGCCAGAGATTAAGGGAAGGCCTGGGGTCATCACTGGGCAAGCTCTGGGTACATGAAGATCGCCCCCACCTCCCAACTTCCACTTCCCAGACAGACACTGAAGAGCCCCCCAAAGTGGAGAAGCTGAGGTCCCCGGGGCGCACTCACATGTCGTACAGCAGCCTCCCCGCCGTGGCGGTCCGCTCCGCATTCCGCTCGATGGTGTACATCTCATACTGCAAGGACAGCAAGGGGTCACCGCCCTGAGCCCCACCAGCGCCCCACCTGCAGCCCCGTGGCCCCAGGCTGAGGAGTGGGACGCGGGCCTCTTCCCACGGCTCGGCTCCCAAGTCAAGTGGCACAACGTCTCACAGCACCGGGCGCTGAACAGACGGCTGCCACGGTGATGAGAGGCGAGACGGGGGGGCGTTCCAGGCTGGACCCCAACTACACACCCCGGGCCCCAACTACAGCCCCCGGCCGCAGCCCCGCCCTCCGAGGATCGGGCTCTGGGAGGCGCAAGGGGGTCGGCGCCGGGAGGGACCAGGCGGGGGCGGCCGCGCATCCCAGGAGCTCCCGCCTCCGCCTCCGCCTCCGCCTCCGCCTCCGCCCCGGCCGCACGCGGCCCTCACCCCACCTGGATGTTAAAGTCCGCCGGGTAGAGGGTGCGGGCCGTGATCAGCCACGCCTTGGCTGCCCACAGGTCCTGGGGCACCAACTCCCGGGCTCGCTGCACCAGGAACTCGCTGTCACCCTGGGCCGACATGGCCCCGGTGGCGGGGACGCGTCTGCTACGGAGGCCGGACCTTCCGGCGCCGAGACTGCAGCGCCGCAGCAGCCTCCGTTCCCCAGCGGGCGCCACTGCGCATGCGCAGCGACGGCGCGGCGCACGGAGCGGACGGGAGGGCGTGCCGGGTTTTGTAAGCAGCCGGCCACGCCCCCTTTCGGCACTCAGCGGCCCCGGGAGCGGGCGTCAGCGTGCGGCTCTTGTGAGTCGCCTGGAAACTCTGGAGAAGTGGATTTCCGTCATGTCAGGGAGCATGCGCGGAAGCTGTGCGGTGCCTTGCTCTGTGCGTTAGCTGCGTTCTTCGCTCAGCCTTTGGGAGTCGTGGGCGCGGGCGGCGGGCTGGGGAGTGCAGTCTCTGGCTGTCCCCTGGGCCCCCATGCCGGGTTCCGGGGATGAGCGCGGGAACAAGTGTGAGAGGAAACGGAGCGGTGAGGGAGGCGGGAGGAAAGGAGCGGGCCCTGTGCCCGCGCGGGTGGGTTGTCTCGCGTCTCGGGGCGCGGGGGAGCCGGGGCGGGGTTAGGGGCTGCTCCTGCGAAATTCGGGCTGGTTTGTGTTTTGTTTAGTAAACAGGCCCAAGTTGTGTGTTCGTCTGGCCTTTATTCACTATTTTCTCCAAAGAGCATTATTGAAAAATTACTATTAATAGTATTATTTTAACAATTAGCATTTGGAGAATATTTTGCTGAGTACTTTGGGAGCTACGAAAATGGCCAAATCACTGACTCAGCCAGGGTTTGTTTTGGACGCATACGCGGCCAGCGAAAATATACAATTTAAATTGTCATCTCCGGCCAGAATCAGTTCACTTTCACCAAAAGTCTAGATTTGTTTACCATTTGAGAGAAGTTAAAAAAAAAAAAAAAAAGTGTATAGGCTCTGTTGAGAAAGTAATATCCATCTGCTAAATGGGAAGAAAGTTCCAGAAAATGGTCTTAGTTTTCCATCCAAGTTCTATGTTAAGAATTTTATCAACTTCTGTTGACTGTGATTTGCATCTAAAACCAGGAGAACTCAAGCTAGTTTAAGGTATATATAAAAAAAAATTAAGATGAATATATAGTTCATGGTAATACGAAAATACATGTTTAATAATTATAATAATTCACTATTTGAATTAGTTTACCAATTGTAGACATAAGTATCAAAAGTGCATACACAAAGGTGTAAACACCAATACTGCCAAATCCATCGATATCAATGCTCTTTTATTTTGCTGTTTTTTAAGAGTTAAGGAAACTTCTAGAACCTTCACCTTCCTGATTCTTTAAAACTTGATTTTGTTTTCTCAGTAACCCAACGATTGTTAAACTACGGTTAGCGAGGCTCCCTGCATTGTTAACCTTCTCATCATTCTGTGCTATGTCTCCTGGGGCATTGGGGCCCCAGGAAACTGTGGTTCCAAGGATGTTGTTTATTTTCCTTGATGATGCCATGAACAGCCTGATTGTGGGATCAATAATATGCCAAGACTAATCAGTGATAAAATATTGTTGGGTTTGTGGAGTGGAGGAAGACAGAAAATTTAAATAGAGATCAGGATAATTTTTATCTTACAATAAAAATAGCTTAAACATTTTTCATTGTTTCATGGATTTTAATATATTAAGTGTTCAATTTTCTGGGTTTTCTGGGTTTCTCTTGAAATTAAAACAAAGGCAAAACTGCATACTTGTTCCTGAATCTCTAGCTCCGTAGTGTTGTAAATTAAAAATATAAATTTAGGAGCTGAACTCTGGATGTATTTTAGACGCCAACCGGGTGAAATTGCCTGTGCCTTTTTTTCTAGAATACAAGACAAGGCTTGTGGCTATTTCCAATTCAGCTTAATTTTAAGTGTTCTCCACCTAAAAGTGTTGAGTTCACCTTGGCATCTCAGAATGCCTGATGAAGTTATCACGCCAAACCAGACCACAGCTTTTTGGCTTCTTGCTGTCTTGAAGCCTCACATGAGAATCTGGTTGACTAGCTCATAATTTTCTCAAGAAGCTGTGGCCTAGCCTAACCTCAAATTCCTGGAACTCAGTTCAGTGATTTGTATTAAACTGTGTATTGCTTTTTCCCTTCCTTGACATAAACTGAAAACCCTGTGTCCTTTAACATACCATTTTAACTTTCCTGCCTTCAATTTTTTTGTTGGCTCTTTTCTGTAATTTCCTCATCGATCTCCTTGATTTTACCTTCACAAGTCTCTATTCTCCTGACACCTACGTTTCTCTCCTAGTGTAGCTGCCTCCTCCTGGGCTTCCCCTTTTCCTATCCATGCTTAGTGCTAAGCGCAGACATTCAGTACTTTCAGTGTCTCTGCTGCTTGTCCTATCTCTGTGCCCCTCTTCACATAACTTGCTGTATATCCACCTTAGGGAACATCTTCCTGAATGGTGAGACTGGCTTGAAATAGTAGGTGCTTCAATAAATATATTTTCAGCCACAGTTACTGTGGGTGACTGAGTTCTGTTGGAGAATGGTATCCAAAGGCACAGGTTGGTGCAGTAACAAATGCCAGATTTTACTACCATTTGAGCCACTTTGCCACTATTTCAAGCCTTGTTGTTTTTTTCAACTACTCATATTCTGTTCACCTTGAGTACATAACCTTGCCTTTTACAGAGAAGACTGAAGCCATAAAGCCTTGAATTCCTTCAGTTGTGGATACTATGTCCCTTTTTGTCTTTCAAGACCATGCATATGGGCATGTGTATTGTTAAAATCCTCTGATACTTTCCTGTTATCTGATATCAGGGTTGTAGCTCTGCATCATCATTTATTGCCAACCCCCCTTACCAGTACTTTTAGTTCTTTAATGTGATAAGTCCTTTTCATCTCCACAAATTCATGTATATCACCTCTGCTGTGCCTAAGATACTTTCCACTGCCAACCTCACAGTGCCTTTATTTTTTTGGCAGTAATAGGTATTGAACATTGAGCCTTTACAATGAGCCACGTCCCTATGGGAAAGAGAGAAGAGAGGAGAGAGAAAAGGATAAGAACCAAACTCAAACTGTCAGGAATTATCTTCCACAATTGCATCATTAATCTATTCATGAGAATAAAGCCCTCATGACCTAATCACCCTTAGAGATACCACTTCTCAACATTGTTGTGTTAGAGATTAAGTTTCCAACATATCAACTGTGAGGGATGCATTTAAACTATAACATGTTTTTAGTGGGTGCCATAGAGTTTGTGAGATATTTAAAATGAATGTCAGTCTGCTTTTAGAATAACACCATATTGCTTCATGAGTAGTATGAGAACCTTAAAATAACAATTTTAATTCTTCCTTCTTGTTCAATATATCATGGCTATCATTCATTTCACTAAGCCTTTGTATCGTACATATATATGATATATGTATACAAGGGTATATAATAAAGTACATCATTGCTAAATGAACTTACCTGTTAGATCAGTTAAGGATAAGAACTAGTCCTGGGACTCAGCAACCAGCTCGACCAGAGGAACCCAGGTGCCTGGCCCACACCCCTACACCTCCAGACCAGGACACCAAAGGCCGGCAGCCACACAGTAGGACCTGGACTAGGACACACATGATGGACAAGTAAGAATAGTGGGAAGGAAAAGTAAATACAAGCCAACAGGTGGTAAGTTAGCTGAGCCAGTGTTGTGCTTGGGACAAAGACATATGGAATAGAAATGGATGGGTGGGGCTGCCCCCCTTTTAAAAATATGATTGTATTTTATTTTATCTTTGTTTTTATCTTACTTTCTTTTTCCTGCTTTCCCTTTTTTCTCAATTATTTTTCTTTTTCCTTCTTTTTCTTATTCTAATACCTCCCCTCAAACCCAGAGACCAAGTTCAGATAATCCCTTAAATACTCCTTCTTTCTTTTCTACTGCTTTTTCTAGTTACCCAAACCTTGTGTGACTGTCCTGTCTCCTCCAGCCTGGTTTCTACTTCCTTTCCAGTTGTCTTTATCTTACACATCGTCCTCCATAAATTTCCATACCACAGGGTAAATCTACTCTGACAGGGGGAAACACTTTGCATACAAACTCCTAATTTATGATTGATGCTGTTATGTAGTAGTCTTTGCTTCTATGGTCTAAAGTACAAAATCAGTAGTTACTACAGTTTGTAAATTTCTAAATTGTGTTTGATGCTGTCATTATTGCTAATTGTACTACTGTAGCTAGGATGTCATATCTGTTGTAATCAGTTGTTCTCCCTCGTATAACAATATTGCGAAGGTCTAGGGTAATAATCTCACCATAGCCCTATACCAAAAGACTGGGGATTGAGCCAAACACAAACTAACATCCCACTCTCATTTAATTGGGAAGGTAGGATCTTGGGACAGACACAAACAATCTCCTACACGCAGAAGAGATCCCTGGAGAACAGACATTTCCTAGAGAGACTTTGATACTAACGATATAGCTACCTACTACCAAAACTCACAGGGACCATGACAGAAAATAATTTTTTTTTTTGAAATACAAAATGACAAGACAAAGAACAAAAATGCAATCTCAGACCTCCAGCCCACCCTGAAAAAAATCCAGGAGACATCAACATAAAAGAAATTCGAAGTCACACACCTGAAATTTATATAATGATAGCAAATGAAAAAAAAAAAAAAAAAAAAAAAAACAAACCTCCATTAGGCTATAGGGGAAATTAGATGAGAAATAATTTCTCAGGTAAAAAAAAGAAATGATGGGGCAGGGTTTAGCTCAGTGACACAGTGCCTGCCTGGCAAGCACAAGGTCGTGAGTTCAATTCCTGGTACCAGAAAACAAAACAAAACAAACAAAAAAAGGAACAACAACTGTAATGAAAGAATGGCTCAGCATATCCAAAGAAGACATAGATTAAAAAAATATAGAGAGAAGCATAGAAAAATGATGGAAACCTTGAATGAACAATATAGGACAGAATTAGAATGCATAAAACAGATTCAGAGGAATATTCAGGAAACTAAAAATGCCACTGAAAGCTTGCAAACCCTTTTCATGAAACCGAAGATACACTTTCAGACCTTGAAGACAAGATTTCAGCTAGTTATCATGAATGGAAAGATCTCTTAAGACAAAAAGGAACCATGAAATAATGATTCAACAGCTGAAA